CATTTTCTGCAGGAGTCGTCGTCGTTTCGGTGGGGGGACTTGAGTGGCCTTGCTCATGGCTCACTAGACCTGCCTGACTCAGGTACTCGTGACCGCATGTGCTACAGCACCATGGGCTCGATGGCGATGGAGTACAACCCATCGGCGTCTGTCGCTTCCACAATTGCCGCTACTTCTCTGCTTGCACGAGGGATTTCTCTTGAACCTCTGCAATTGTCTTCGTGATCAGATCACACCATGTACGCCGATCAACCGCCTTCGATTCCTATATATATATATATATATATATATATATATATATATATATATATATATATATATATATATATATATATATATATATATATATATATATATATATATATATATATATATATAAATTACGCTTACTCGGCTTTCTTGGATTAGTGAGCACTGCGTATGTTAACATTTTGTCATCATCCAGTGGATGCGAGTCATGGCATGTAATACAAGTGGTCTACAAGGGATAACGTGGGAGTAGAAATGAAATACATATACTGTTATATTTGGAAGGAAAGGTTCCCAGTAAGTTACTGACCGTTCATATTGTGTAGCCAGTTTCAGCTGATGGTCCCTTAGTCCTGTGTTGCAGTAAAGTTGGGGAGAGGCTGACGCACTGCGGTTTTAAAAGTTAGCGCTGACGTCTAATATTCTGTGGGCTTTAAGCTCGGCTCAATTGGGTGATAGCAGTAGCTTCTTGGACTGCTGGTAAACTTGAGTGAACCTAACGGCTGTCTGTTAGTTTGTTATCGGATATCTCAAACCAGTCGGCTTATGGTAAGTGACATATACATATATAAAACTCACGCGGGTTTTATTATTTTTGCAGGTGGTACTCCTAAGACTGTGGGCGACACTACCCAGGGCACTTTGATTTCCAGCAGCTTCCTGCTGAGCTTGCAGTTTCTTGATCCAACGAGAACGGTTCTGCGCTACCTCACTAATGGATAAGATATTGGAGTGGGCTAAAAAGCTGTCATGCAACCCTCTAAAGAGTTAAGACAGAGTCTGGACAAAGGTCAAAAACCGTTAGTTGGAGAGGAATGCATATTTTATATTGTGCGTCAGTGTGGGCGCTATTTGGTTGCGGTGTCTTCATACTGGTTGCTTTCCATTTGTGCGTCTTTTACGGTCTGTCTGTGTTCATTATTCCCTACGTTCTACTCGGTTCACTCGACTTCTTTTCCGTTCTCGTTGTGCGCCTAGATACGTGCATGGACGCGTCAGCTGTTATTTGTCTGTCTAGCTAACGTACGTGGCACTTCCGCCTGCGGCTGTTTCGTCAAATCCGCTTCATCGTTATTGGTGACAATTCGTGCTTTGTTAATTCTACGTTGGGCCAATTCTGGTTCCGCTCTCTGGCTCGTTCACACATAGTCATCCTGCGTAGGCAGCGAGTGAGTGACTTCCTACTTGCACACAATCCGTTGGTCAGCTTCGTTCATACGATCAGCTATAACTACACAAACGAGTTAGATACCTCATTAAGGTACCTCCTGAATTAGATTCCCAAACGAGGTGGGCTATAGTATAGCATCACTAGTTATCAGAAGTCAGCTTAGTAAATCATTATACGTCCGGATCTTCTTACCGTACAGAACTACACATCTTCTATCAAAGTCGTCAACAACAGATCATCCTTGACCATTGTGACGCACATCGTAAGTCGGTTTGTCGCATCTTGGGACCGTCTATATTCCTGCACTGAAAGGGTATCAGCAGTACGCCGGTACGCAGGAGCGACACTTCGTTGCCGCGCAGCCACCACCGGTAGCACGCGAGCTAAGGATACTGTGAGAATCAGCCCACCCCTACGCAGGCGCAAACCTGCGCCACGAGGTTACGAGACAAGCTCGTTATCTATAGGCTGTACTGAAATCAACCTAGGGTTGATTGGGTGATGGCAGAAAACGGTGGAGTAAGCCTTCAAAGCGATCTAACAGCTGTTGGGGTTAATGTACAAACCGGAAACTAGTTAGTTTTGGGGATTAGTAGATGTCAACCTTTGGGAGAAAGCGAACAGTTCGCGGCTCATACATTTGTCTGCCAAGTGCCAATCTGTGCCTGGTATTGAATGCGAGATGCGTCAGCGTGTGGTAAACTTTATTTCTAGTGTTTGCGCGTGTACGATGGCATACACAAGAAAAGGGATTGGAGATAATAGACATATCATCATAGGCACAGATGGAGTCGGATGGACGACATGTACCAGTGGATTGAACAAGATGTTTATCTTCATTTATAGTTCTTAGAGATCAGAATGAAGGCTTACATAGAGACGTGACCGTCAGGCATACTGTGCTGATTTGAATGTGGGTGCCTATTGCATCAATGCGTATACGGAACATAACCTGTCAATAGGAGATCTTTCTGCTTGGAGTAGGGAAGTACACAAAAACGATTACTAAATTGCTGGAATTATGACAACAAACGTGGAGTCATCTTCATTCACAGAGGAAGTGAGCCTTCTGCGCATGAAAGCTGGTTATTTGTAAGCAGAGATGCCAATTCAAACCCATCGGATGAACAGTTAAAGAATAAACTGGCCGATATCGGCTCGGATGAAATCACTGGTCCAGTTTGGACAAATGTAATTTACCCAAGTAATTTCCCCCACCTATTACTACATGAGATATAAAACCCAATGGCAAAGCTTGCAGTGCATGAAACAGTCACTTCTTGCGCATCTTCCGGGAGCAAAAGTATTGCCATCCAGCCAGTCATTTTTATCCGTTACTCGCCTTCTGCTGGTTGACAAAATTGCGTAGATTATGGAAGTGCTTGTTCAGTGAAGGTCATCGTGAACGTATCTGGATGGACAGGTCTCGACTTTCTCGAATGATAAAGGCACAGTATGTGTATGCACTAAATGATAGAAATCAACCTTCGTCTAAACACCCAAAATCGTTTCACAGCAATGGGTAGCGCGATTCACCTCTAAATTTCCATTGGTTCCGCAGAATATCTGTGAGAAGCCAACGATTAACGCAATCCGGGGTCCCGTTGATTCCGCTGTAGGCACACATCACGCTGACTGCTCCGGCTTGCAGGCACGAGCGGAAAGCTGGTAAGTAAGTGAGCCACATGTCGTGCATCGGAACTTTAGCTTCGAACGACAGCCGGGAAACAGGAAAGTTCTCCGGTCCCGTGTGAGCTGCAAAGTGTTTGCAATCCGCAGTTACCAGTAGAGTGTGCGCAGTAAGCGGATTGTTCCTATCCTCGGAGAGCTATTAAAGATGGAAAAGGGGACGAATATTCCAGGTTATAGTGATAAAAGTTCGATAACCAACAAGAGAGGAATCGATTGGTCTAGGTAACCGCTGAAATCCGCGCGACTCGATGTAGGTTAGGTTCCATCAGTACCATCATTATACACCTTAGCTGCAGCTGGAAAACACCGCAGCAATTGTGTCGAAATACAAAAGACAAAGAGCAAAAATACAACAGAGGCACGCCGGCTTAGTTTCCATTAACGAATGGACATCGTTCCGGAGAGTTAACAGCGGGCTATTGTGCCAACAAGGAGAGTTATATTATGCCTAACGAATGTGATCCTGAATGGAGGGGGAGGCTAAGCAGGAGGGGGATAGACAAAGGAACGCACAACATAAACGTCACTGAGGATGACTCTTCGCCATATCAGCTAGCGTATCTAACCAAACGTGTTCACCATCCATCGGACCCCAATCACTCAGTCGAGAAACACCAACCGATGCCAAGTCCGAAGTGAGGGTATTCAATTCCCTCGACCACGTCATGGCTTAATCTCCCCTCCTCCTCTTCCAAGCACACACCCGGCGTGCAAACAATGCACCTCGTAAGAGTCGGTATGCAGGAATGCGCAACACGTGGCCCAGCCATCTGAGCTTGATGCGCGATATAACGGTGCTGAATGGTTCACTCGCTATTCCTGCATCAAATACACGACGCCGAATACGCTCATTGCTCACGCAGTGCTCCCACCAGACGTGAGTTAAGCTGTGGAAGTAGCGATGGTCGAACGTAAGCAGCCTCTTTATGTCTGTCGAACCGATGGGACAGGTTTCACAACCGTATAAGCGGGTTGTGCGGACGGTTGCATTGCAAACTCTACCCAGCAGAGCGAGAGTAATGTCATGCAAACGCCACAGATGGCGGTGATTAGCAACAGCACCTCGAGCTTTTGCTACACGTTTCGTGACCTCCTCTTCTATCCCAAGGGGGCCGATATCGCTACATAAGTGCTTAAATTTCTTGAAGACTATTAGCTGATCATCACCAAAGGTCATCGCAGGAGTGGAGTTTTGCTAACCCTGAAGAAGAATTTTGCCTTTCGATAGAGCAAAGCACAGCCCAACTCGATCGACAGCCAGTGCTTTTCGGTCCAGAGCAGCCTGGCACGTTTCTGCGCTGTAACACGAGGGCAATGTCGTCCGCATATCCCAGTCGAGGAGTCTCTCACCAGGAAGGAACTCCACACCTTCTAGGTCGTGTCCAGCGAACGCTGTTTCCATGACTTCAACAATGGCGAAGTTAAAGAGGAAAGGTGATAACAGGCAACCTTGTCTCACACCACTGGAGCTATTGAAGGGCAAAGACAGATGGCCATAAACCCTCACTCTGCCCGAACTATGCGCCTACAGCGCTTTGTTTACATATTTACCTGGCACACTTTTTCTCAGCTGACAGTCCCAAAGGGCATATCGATTCACCGAACGGAAGACACTTCGAGGTTAAGGAACGCGATAACGGTTAGTCACCAATAAACATGGCGGTGCTTCGACAATGGACACAATGTGAAATTGTGGTTGATGTAGCCTCGATTTAGACGAAACCCGGCTTGCTCTTCACGGATCTGGCCTTCGCGAGCGCCAGTCAGTCTGTGGAGAAAGACAGAGGCAAGTAGTTTAGAGGCAAGCAGACTAATCCCTCTAAGGTTGCCTCCTTCGAACGGGAGCCTCCGTTGAAAATTGGAACTCTGACGGAGCGGCTCCAGTCTGTCGGAGCAGTTTCCTGCTCCCAAAGTTCCATTAGAAACGCGTGTACATCATCCACAATGGCAGGTCCCCCGAAATTGTGAGAGTTGGGGGAATTATATCTGGATCAGTGGCCTTGTGCAATTTCAACAGTCTAATCTCATTTTCGACTTCTGCGCGTAAGGGCGGATCTAAGGAGACGGCGCATGGAGAAGGGCACACAATGTCCGAAAGAGAAAGCTATAACTCAGTGGTTAAACTGCCTTGCAAAGTGTTTCACCGAACCCTGCAAGCGTTTGGACAGACTGTGAATCGGCTGTCCACTCTCGTCGCGTAATGTCGCGCTAACAATAGGTCTCCTTCCACTTATTTCCCGTAGCAGACGTAATAACTTCCGATGATTACCAACAGTAGCGGCTGTTTCCATCACCGAGGCAGGATGAGATCACCAGGCTTCGCGGTCTCTCTTCAGGCTAGCACGTAGTGTCGTCTTGGGATTTTTTGCGAGTCATATTGTATTCGCTTCCAACCGGAATACGTCGGTGAGCATCCGTAAGTTTCAGAGACTTTGTAGAGACCCAATGTTTAGGTCGACAATTTGAGTTGCCACATAACTACATGCCTGTGAGATGAACGTTTGACGAATATGCGACCAGTGAACATCGACGGTGTTTAGTGGACGCTTACGCAGTCCAGATGCCAGCGTAGTTTGATACGCCTTCAGAACACCTGGCTTCGTCAGCTAGCTGGTGTCAATGCGCTCAAAGCGACGTTGCGGACGTCCGTCGGAACGCCCCCGCAGGTCGGCACACGTGAGAGCGTGGTCAGATTTCACGCTGTTGCTCCAACTCGAGCGACAATTTTGGACACAGTCACTCCAGCGGTAACTAATCGTGATGTGATCGATTTGCATCCACGGCTGGCCTGAGGCTGGTGGACGTCAACTCACTCGTCTGCGGGTGCTTTGTCGAAATTTAGTGCTCACGAGAAAGTGACGAGAACCATCAGACAAGTGTAGCAACCGCTTACCGTTTTTATTACCGGGGCCTACACCATATTGGCCGCCCAGATGAAGCTCATCAGAGGACGCTTTTCCGACTTACGCGTTTAGATCACCACCAAGCATCACAGTATCCGTGCTTCTTTGTAACGAAAAAGATTGTTAAGTAGGTCATAGAAATCATCTTTCACCGAATCAGGACTGCAATTTGTGGGATCGTAGGCCGCAACGAAAAACAGACACCGTTTGTTCCCGTGCGACTTCGAAGCCTGGAACGAGCTAGCCAACTTAACGGCGCACATCCGACTGTTGACAGGGATCCAGTCGAGCAGGGCAGCTTCAGCCTGGAGACTCAAAACAATTCCGACGCCAGCTTGACCTGCATGTGAAGCTGCGTCATCGCCAGGCAGACACAATGAGAATGTGCCACCAGTGTCGTATGTGGGGGATCGCAGAGTAAGTACGGAGCTCGAATAGTGCAGGCGGGTTTTCGATAAACAGCAAATATCGATCGCGCTGGTCCCAAGCGTACGAGCGAGTGCCGCATGCTGGCCCATCTGTAGCAAAGTGCGTACGTTGATGCATGCCAGTCTTGGCGAGAATTGAGGACTCAAAAAAGAAACCGATGAACTGGCGTTGTTTGCTTGGTTGAACATGGAGTTGTCGACTTCATTGGAGCGGCACGCTGCGATTGTGTGTGAGCTGAAACTAGAAGACAAGGCACTATTGAAGCAAGGTGTAGGATGGCTAAGAATTGGTAGATATAAAACGTGTGGGACGAAAGTGAAGTTGGAACGGACCGCTAAAGATGTAAAAACCTAAGAGGGGGAATACGAAGGCGTGAAGGCCTGAGCAGTAGCATTCAAAGCCCTATCCACCCTGCTAGATGCAGCACATAGGGCGCCGTTTATTATCCTCGGCGACGGCCAGAAGATCAAGAGGTTGTTAGAAGAAAAGGTCATGGTGTTAGTTTCCTTCCACTATGAATATGTGTTGTGAAAATTATTTTATACGATCTAAATAAATGTGGATTTTAAGCAACCGCATCTAGTTGTCGTCTTATTAGTACCAGGACCATACAGGGTATAAAGTACGTACTGTAAGGCTCCACATTCAGCGAAGCGTGCTGGTTTCATGACACCGGAAGATGAGAAGTGCAACCCCCATGAGCCATCATGGAGAAGAATCTAAGATAGCGTCTTAGTAAACTGTATTACGATTTCCCTTATGGAAAAGTTTCCTTTACACAGATGGTCTTTTAACTGGATAATAAGGGTGAAATTTGACGGGTGACAACGCAGATATTTGCCGTCACTCAGATTTTGGTATACTACTATAAACAAATTGTGAGAGACTGTGGCTTTCTGGAGCCCATAAATAGCCTCATTTTATTGCTATCCATGAATCTTACTCCATTTGTGGTTCAGTGTTCTGGAATTAATCAAGAAGTTTCCTTTATGTACGGATAGAAGCTACTTTGTTAGCCAAAGAGAGCTGGAGAATTTCTGTAGATATAAAAACTTTTAGATGAGCAAACTTGCTCCTCCGATACTACGGTTTGCTTGATTGCTTCACTTATGCTTGACAAGGTTTGCAGTTGCATCAGTAGTTCGTCTTTGTGCGAGAAAGACTGGAACGAAATCGCTTGTTTAAAACCAGATGAAAAGTCATTGCATAGAGGACCAGCAATTGTATGTCTGAGGAAAGAACTTGTATATGAAAGTATCAGTGAAGGCTTGTAGACATTCGGCTGATTCTACGAGAACCATCCGATCAGTCATACTGGTCGGCCACCGCTTTAACAAACAGACTTCGATGCTTCCACCAGAGGTGTCACTGATATTACTTGAAACACTCTTTTCTGCCTCCATAACGCATATCTGGCGTCTGAAACTGGCATTGCAAATTCGAAAGGCATTGTTTACCTATAATGGGTGTTCGACTTTGAGAGTGCTTTCCAGCTGCCACTTTTGAACTGACAGAAAACATCCGTACTGACAGCGAAAATCGCCCAGATGAAAGGACCACAGAACAAGCTGTTAGTGAGAAACCATGGAAGTGATATTGACCGATTCTTTGAGCGATATAGCTCTGTGTATCCTGATAAGACAATATCGCCTTACAACCAGAAACAAAATTACCTAACGCGCTCAAATGAATAGGTTTGCAGTCCAGAAGCGTTCCGCCATACGTTCTACCAGAGTTACATGGGTAAAAGTGTTAGTCATGTTTAGCTAGTAGTCAGCAGTCCAGGTAATGGAAGAGAAACGTGACCTCTATCAAAAGCGATCCTGGTGTGTTTAGACTTTCAGGTCACAGAAGTGTGGTAGGAATTGATCGTTTGATCGAATTTGACCAATCAGTAGTAGGTAGGCAGAACGATCAGCCGCAGTCGAAGCAATCGGATCCAGCGTGAATCAGCCAGAGAGAGGAATCAGGATGGAGTCAGCCTAGAAAGAATAAAGTACGGCTTTGTCACGAACAATAGCGAAGGGGACTGGCTAGGACGGTCGAGAGCAGACGGGGCGTATGCTCTGACCAGAGCAACAAAAGAGCACCGATGAGCATAAGCATGACGCATGGCGGACAAAGCAGATGGAGCGGAAGTCGACTGAAACGGGTAGAGCTTAATGACTATTGAAAACAGATAGGCCGCAGAAGAAGTGAACATTTAACTAACATATGTGAAATGTTACGAACAAACAGCTTTGCTTTAAAAATAATTGGTAGTTGTCCAGAATTTGTCTGCCTCGAGGGCTACTCGACAAGAAGGAAGACGATAAAAACATTTAAATCTAAGTTTCCAAATACTCGGTTGTAAAATTAAGGTTCCACATGCTTCGAGGGACCAGGAAAGCCAACTCGGCGGTACATTCAACAACGCAGAGGGAAAACATGAATGGTAATATGCCAAACATTCGAATGCTCTCGTCAGTCACAGCGAGGCGCATGCATAAAATCTTACGACGTGAAATATGTTGGTGTCTATGCAACACAGATAAGCTGCAGCAGTGATGAGTAAATGTTGCAAAATAAAGATCAAGATAGTTTAGCAGATTGTATCAATTGTTGTTGTCGCTATACCAACACTACCAGATGATTTGCCCTTGTGCTCGAAGCCACACAGATAGCCAAATGTCTCCGATTCCGGTTACCTAATGACAGGAACTAATTCACCGGGTCGGATTGGTGACTGCATCACATATTCCACCTAAGTTACATGAACAAATGCCTTTTCGTGTCACAACGGAAGAAGTTTTTCATGTTCGCTTGTTTACGCGTATCAAGAGGGTAAGCCACTTTGATAGGACCCCTCCTATCGAGTTTACTTGTCAACGAACTTGGTGCCATACAGGAACATGGCCACATTCGCTTCTCCTATAATATATCTTTCGCTTTATTTCGGTTATTATTGGATCATCCTGCACGAGATGCACGCTAATTCCTTCGCTTACCCCTTACAGTAGCTAACTGATAAATGTCCGCTGATGCCTGAAGCATTACTGTAACGGGGATGTTTTTGTATGATTCTACCGGCCTGTCTGTTCTCCATGCTTTGGCTAGTATGCTGATCTGGATAGGCAAATTATCTACCCTTTTGCTGCGATTGCTTCATCGCAACTGCCTGTGCAATCTATTTTGCACCTATCACCCATTACCAAGAGAATCTGAACAAACGTTTGTTCGTTCAAAGTCATCAAAATTTCGACTGGCCAGAATAGTTTTGCTGAAACTGTGACATAGTTCAATGCTAGCCTTCAAGGTGAACTTATTTTCTATTTTGTCCAGATCCCTTGGCTAAAGCTTAACAGCAACGAGGATCCCTGGAGTAGTGAGATGTTCTTTCACTACTGAAAATGATGGTAAAATATGCACTCTCCCACATTCAGGATTTTCACCATCATCCTACGTCACATATCAGTACATAGAGGGAGGGGTTAGTTATTTTGACTTAGGGTCGTTTTGGAAGCAAATATTTTACCACAATAAACAAGGAAGTTCTTCTATGAGAGTAAATAAGTGACCTCGTTACGGGCTGGCGTGTCACGGTTGCTCACGGTTGTAGTGCCAGAAACTTGCAAGTGTTAAAGCACTTTTCCACATACTTCCAGCTAGAGACTTGACCTTTATTGCTCATAAGCGTTGTATTATGATTAAAATGTCATGACAGATTCCATAGCGGAGGAGCTATTGCACATCATAGTATTCGAACCTAAGCACCACGAAGGGTAGCCGCTGAAAAAGCACCATTTTACATTAAAGTAAAACGTCACCCGGATACTTCAGTTGGCGTAAAGGGGACAAACTTTACTGTCCAGTGAAACGCAATAAAGGGGCCTTGGACACAAAACAAGTCCCACACCAACCTGTGGTTTGATCTGCCTCCAGCCTCCCACACCTTTCACGTAGGCCTCAGATAGTTGGCCAGACAGGTATGGATCTTCTCCGTACGTCTCCTGATTTCTACCCCAGAGCGGGTGCCTCATCAGGTTTGTCACCGGTGCGTACACGTGGATTCCAGTCCCATCCTGTAGGTCACAAAAGGTCAATATTAAACAACCTAGCATCGATCTTGCATGTATGCACATTGCAAATAAAGATCTATCCACATCAGAATGAATTGTTAACAAAATTGTCGTAACAGGAACATTTCTTGTTGAATTTTATACTGCGATCAGCTTGGTGGCTCATGCGGTCAGTAGCAGCACTTCAGTAGTTCCTCTATAACTGCGAGTGTATAAGTGTATTGTATTTGGTTTGGCGGTTACTAGCTGTTAGACTTCAGTGTCAAGATGTGGGTGAGGTTTCGGTTCAAGTATAATGGATTGGTCCAATCATGTTAGTCGTAACAATCACAACAAATTGCGAGTAGCCAAGATGAAGAAGAAAACAACTAAATGGTGCTAAATTGGTATCAGTAGGCTTCTAGGAAGTGATTATCGTGGGATGATGCCGGTGCCGCGTGTGATTACCCTGTACTGGACAGGGTTGTCTAAGTAATACCTTCTACAGTCTCATTAGCATCGGCGCTTGCCATTACTGAGTATACGTACTTTAATCGAAGGTTACTTAAGGTCTCCGAATGCGCCTCTTATTATTATTATCAGCAACAGCCGTATATTATCGAAATTGAAATGAGGCTTCACTGCTGTACAAACACAATGAACTATAGAACGACCAATAATAATGGAGAGAAAAGAGGAAACCTAGCATACAACCGTAATGCCCTAGGCAAACATTCAAGGTCAAGTTGCCTACGCTGCCAAAAACAGCTCGCTATCGTGCAAAGATAAAGCAGTATCGGCGAGACAGCCTCCGTGCAGCTTTCAGTGTCTTGGTTCATAATCAGCCATCATCCTGCAAGTAACTCAGCACCAAACACACAGTAAACAGGCAGCCCGACTGGAGGACAACAGCAGATGTGCCACTGTTTCCGACTGCGAGCCGTGTCCCATTAAGCCTCGAGCCAAACACAAGGCGGGTCACGTGGATTTTGACTTTGAAGACTTAACGCACTGACGGCACCCAGTTTTGTAGTGAGCGCCTCCATTCCAGGCTGCTGAGTTAACATTTGTGCACCTCGAGCCTTGCGCCACTCTTCATCGGACAACCAGCGCAAGGCTCTCTTCGGTAAGCGTGATCGCGTGTAACGAAGAGATCACACTGTCGGATTTCACCGAAGCAAGGCACAGGTGCCGTCTCCAGTTCCTTTGTTTTCCTGGCCCGAACTTTCATCCAGACATTCACACGTTCACTCGTCACGCTCTATCGATTACCTTCAGCCCTTCCATCATAACCTCGTTCCGGACCCATGTTCAGTGAGCGTTGGTTAGAATCATCCACCTACCCATCCGTGTTCCATGTGCATTGTTCATTGGCTGATTGACTGACGATTGATAACTTCGTCGTAAACCACTCTGAATAACATTGGAACCGCTTCTCTTCGGTTTGCTTATCGTCTGCCAGTTGCCGTTGTTTGGTCTAGTTTGACAGCAGGTTGCAGTTGAGAGCCGAAGTATTGTGTACATTTTGGTTTGGATATTGTTTGAGGTATATTAATAAATTCTTGTCTATCCATTTGTACATGGCACCGTAGCTCTTCCGGCTTTGACTTTTGGATAGACCCGGGTGCTTAGTGCTGCTCAGGTTCCACGACCGATTTGTCGGTAACACCGCGTATATGGAGTACGTGTCCAAGCCAACGCAACTTACAGCGCTGTTGTTCCAAGGAACTAGCCTGATTATCACTGCCTAGCAATCGCCTACGCACATCGTCGTTGCCGACACACTGGTACTATCCGACATCAGCAATGCTTCAAATGAAACGATGATCAAAGAATTGTAAATGACTCAGATCCTCAGATCGAAGGGTCCAAGTCTCACTACTATAAGCTAGGTTGGCCCTAACTGCGGCCTTGTACACATGGTCGTGCAGACCGAGGGAAGCTAATTTCTGAAGCTTTCGATTGTTCTGTAGTTTCAATGTTTGCTCCGAAAATTGCACCTAGGTTACAACCATTTTAGACAGTGTGATAACGGCTGCATATACATAAAGTTAAATACATATGTATATGTTACCAGGGTGTATGTGCCTTGGACCCTATGGGACCCATACAAGTGGCTTTTATTGCCCCGCATTGAATTTAGATGACGAGCAACGCACGAAGGTAGATGACGACGGGATGATTGTTATTCTAAGAGGTCACCCTCTGAAACTGACAATTCATTATAGCCGGCTTGAATGCCGTAGAAATTTCTTTTCTCTCCGCGTGTGTCAGCCTTGGAATGCCCTCCCTAATCATGTCGTCTCTGCTCCCAATCTGGCGATATTTAAAAAAACGTGTTGACGATGCATTGTCTCACTTACATTTCATTTTATGACTTGTTAGCCAGGGGCTACAAAACGCAATCAAACGGTTTCTTGCCAAACGCCTAACCAATGGATTTATGGATTTATACGTTTGATATGCGAACATCTCCGCTATTTCACATAAGTCTATGGTGAGTCCACCACAACGCTTTTCACTTTATTATGCAATTGATTTTCGCAATAATTTCCATCCCACGGGACTTGTTAAGCGATGCTTTTTTACCCGTAATAGACCATTGTCCATTCCCAACCGATGGTTTTAAGTATTCCATTTCCATGAGGATGCCGACACCAGGCTATAGCCCTCCATAAATAGGCAAGACCTTTGAAAACCACACACGAGGACGGCCAAATTACTTAGTTCTCCGGTGCAAAAATGTGTAACCTGGTTGTATACCATCCGTAAAATTTAGAAAGTCCATGAGCGGATCATCTGTAGAAAGAAGCGCGGTCAGTCGGACGTTTCAGAAGCCATTCAGTACAGTTTCGCTAGACCGAACGTTAAACCTAAAGTACAAATTACAACAGTTAGTTAATTTTAGCAGAACCAATGACGATGCGCACTAAAAACACACGCGAGCAGCTACACTGTTCACACTTACTTAAGCAACGCTACGTTACGCTACACACTAACGCACTAAGGATGTCACCTGACCGGTGACGTAGATTTGCAATAAAATTGCCACACACAGCAAACAGTTCATCTAAAACATCCACACAACGTGTACTTCAAAATGATCCTCAACATCGTTCATTATACCGTTGTGCCAAACGTTGTCCGTGACCCGGTGGCTTAGGGGTAGCGGTCACAACTAACATACCGATGGTCCCGGGTTTGATGCCTGCTAACTCTATCTGATGAGATGTAATAACATCGAAACGCCATAGTAGTGCAATGTTTTCCGCCGGACAATACCTAATTTCTGTTTACATCCGCTGTCTATTGCTGAGGTTATTTATATCTGCCAGCTCAAGCCGCAGGTGTGTGTGCATAAGCAAGTTCCATGCCTCCGACTGCTACCGCGGCCTACAACTGCAACGAGTAGGGCTGAACAATGATTTGGATGTTGAATTTGCGGTGGGATCAAGCAATCTAGCTGTTACTAAACATTGTAGGTTTAGCACAAAGCAAGGGTACATATTTACATCAATTTCTTAACCAGTCAAGGTCAGCGGCAGTACAAATCAGGTACAAATCAATATATATATATATATATATATATATATATATATATATATATATAATCGCAACTGTCTAAACAATAAAAATTAAGACATTGATAAACTATGAAACGAATGTGTCAAATAAGTACAAAGATCACCAACTGGAAAGTACACAGAGAGAATTGGAGGGTCAAGTTTGGACTACACGTTGTGTGATTGGATTGCGCGTCACAAGAAGAAACTACATTTTACTGAATTTAGTAATTTCGCTTGTTCTCCTCAGTTGTTTGCAAACAAGTTGTGGAAATAACGGATTGTATAGCAAAGGCAATCAGTGTAATGTACTCGGCGAAGCCGGTGAGTTCACGTGACCCGGTCAGCGCGAAGGCGACACAAGCCTCACCAAGGTAGGGCGAGGCTGGTCACGAAGTCTGTCTGTTTGCACAAACGCGTCCGTGCCCATCCTGTTATCGTAGACCTCGGAACCAACCACTTTGGCAACGTCAGGTAAAATGTGTTCACAACTAGAAATCAATGTAGTTGGAAAATTAAGCATTACTTGCTGATGCGGCTTGATAGGCCGATAAACAGTCACCTGGAATTTCACGATGCGTTGGACGGCGAAATTATGTATTGCTTGCTTTTCATGGTAAAATCGTCCTAGCACAGAGTATCAAGCTAGTACAACAAACACCGTCTGCTCATAAGCGAAGGAAAGTCCTACCAGAGTGGTCGCTTCACAGCCGGTCCGACGTCACGCCTTGGCCGTAAGCTGAGCCCGCATGCTACAAACCACTGGCTCGCGCGGGCCGTGCTACCCAAAAGGATGGTTGCAAACTTTCCTAATGACAGTAGCTTTTTCAGGGTTGGAAAAGGCACACATAGCGGTCGTTGTTGTACCGACGTGGAGTTAAATGTGATAATGTCATAATAATAATAATAATAATAATAATAATAATAATAAAAATAATAACGTCATACTAAGGTATGTCACAGAGACGAAGACGAATGTGAAAATTATTATTCCTGATATTAAGGCGACGTCCTGTGCAGCGGGTTGCTAACCATAAACAGAGCGTTTGCACGTACGATACACTGGAACGATCGACATTAAAGTTACATTTTGTCCCCAATTCTATTTTCCACTTACATTATCTCAATTTCCGTTCCGATGAAAGCCAGCTTGCTATAGTATGCTGATGACGCAATGCTTGGTGTACACAAGCAAACTGCGAATTCATGGGCCAAGTCGCCAAACTTCTTGAACAACCTCTCGGCTTCGTCCAAATCCCGCTGTCTTTCCCTTAACGTGTTAAAGTTTAAGGACGTCATTTTCTGGCTGTCCAACTTTAAGCGTTATTATCAAGTCCCCACGCACATCCCGCATAGCTATATTGATAGTGTCAATCTGAACTCGAGTATGTCAGGGAAATCTTTAGGTATTACACCGAGTCCTGAGTTCGCGTGGCCCTCAGCATCATCAACCTAATTATCAATACACGTTAACCGACGGTGTGAAACACATCTTATTTAATGTGCTGCAATACATAAGGTACGACATTAGGCATTTTTGACTTAACAGCTATTAAAAGGTAACCTACTGCTAAGACCACAATTTTAAGTGTTGTTGAAGGGGAAGCTAAACAGAAGGAGAGGGACAAAGATACTCACAACACAAAAGCCCCTGAGGAGGACTCTTCGCCATATCAGCTAACATATTCAACCAAACGTGTTCATCCTCCTTCGGACCCCTAACACGCAGTCGGAAAACACCAAGCGACGCCAAGTGCGAAGTAGGGGTTTTTGTTTCTCTCGACCAAGTTGTCGCTTGACCTCCCCTTCGCCACTATCAATCCACCCTCCCGCGCGCAAACAATACATGTCGCGGGAGTCGGTGTGCTGGCATGCGCAACAAGTGGCCCAGCCATCGGAGCCTGGTGTGTGAGATAACCGTACTGAGCGGTTCACTTGCACTTCCTGCACCAATTACGCGACGTCGAACACGCTAATTGCTCACGCGATGCACCCACTACATGTGAGCTAAGCTGCGGAGGAAACGACGATCGAACCTAACCAGTCTCTTTATGTCTGCCAACTTGATCGACCAAGTTTCGCAACCGTACAAGAGAATTGTGCGGACTGCTGTATTGCTAACTCTGCCCTTCAGAGCGAGAGTAATGTCCCACCAGCGCTATAGATTGTGGAGATTAGCAAAGGCGCCTCCATCTTTTGTCACACGATTTGTGGCCTCATCTTATATCAAAAGGGCACCGATATCCCTATCCAGATACTTGAATTTCTCGATGACTATTAACTGATCCCCACCAAGAGTGAGTGTAGCAGTGGATCCCGGCCAATTTTGCAGAAAAACTTTGCGTTTCGATGGAGCAAAGTATAACCCGAATGAATGGCAGCCAGAGCCAAGTTATTCGGTACAGCTTGGAAAATTTGCGGGCTGTCATAGATGAGCGTATTGCCATCAGTCCGGGGGCTAAGAATAATGTCCATACCATCTTGATCTGCATTTGAAGCCGCTTCATTTCCCGACCAACGCAATGAGAAAATACCGTCAGCTTTACGTGTTAGGGATCGGAGGGTAATTACAGGACTCGAATTTTGCAGACGAGTTTCTGACAACCAGCAGACATCAATTGATAGGGTCTCCAGTGTCCGGGCAAATGCTGCCTGTAGACAGGCTTGCAACGCAGTGCGCACATCGAGGCATGCCAGTCTTAGGGAGGATCGAGGACTCCAAATAGAAGCAAATGAACTGAGCTTATCCGTTTGTCTAGGCATGAACTTACTGACCGGACAGGAGCGACGTCTTGCAATTGCGTGTGAGTCGAAACTAGAAGACGAACGGTTAGTGGACAAAGATGGGGTAGGGCTAAGAATTACGGGGTTGAACACAGAGGGATAAACGTGAAGTTGGAACAGGTCCATAAGGATGAAATAGCGAAGAAAGGGGAATAAAAAGACGGGAAGGCTTGCGCAGTAGCATCCAAACCCCTATCCACTCTGCTCGATGCAGCAGCTGTGGCGCCATTTCTTATCCTCTGATGCGGCTCTTGTACTTGAACAAAACGTTCTCTAAAGTTAGACTATCGTTCTGTCTCCAGACTTATTTTTTCATCCGTGTCTCGTTATTTTATCTTTCGATTTATCACTGCTTGCGTATTACGGCAATGGAAATAGTACTCACCTATGAATTTCACTGACTTATGAACGCGAATCTATAATTGCTAAACGGGTCACTGAAGCATTTTGCCCGATATAGTGGTAGTTCAACATTGAACTTAACTTACATCGTTGGACTTAGTCACGTAGACTGCTGCGCAATACTAGCTTCTCGCATACTCGCTGGAGCCAGTGCCCCTCAAAAGTACATTGTCGGAAAGAATCCGGACTTCTTCGACCAGACAATCATACAAGTATGCTCGCACACGGGTAGGTGGTACGGCATTTGTTCCCTATTTGTCACCTTTTCTTAAGGAGCACAATTTAGTCAAATTGGAACTAATGAACAAACTGATTCGATTCCATCACCTCTGTCACATTTTCAAGCTGTTAACGCACCATATCCGTTTGGCATAGTTTTCATTAATGTTATCTGTGTCATTTACCTATATGTTATTGTAGCGACGGAACAACGCGGCAATGAAGCACAATCTTTATTGGCGCGAACACACACACCATCCTACCACACACGGGAGCACATTTATGAGTCAGTTTTCTTTCCCACCTTGCACCATCCCTCCTGGCCTCCGCTCGTGGCACTTCTATGGTCCTTCCGGGGATAGGGGAACGCATCTTCTATGTCCGTTTCGCCCGTGTATCTTCGCTTCTACGCCTCCGATTCTGACAAGCCCGGAGTCGTTCGATAGCATGCGCTTTGCTTGACCGTTGGTGTATCACTCTCTCCAGGGTTGTTTCTTGAAGATGCGATACCGGCGGTTTGGTCCGATTTATTGCGTCTTCAACAAATTCTCCACCTGATTTGCCTGCCTCGGGCTCGCCAACGGATGCCGCTCCTGTCCCATTTTCGTCCCGTTCTATTGGGCCTGGGTTTCTCCAGTGAATCGCCCCCCATTGCATCGGTCTCCCTATTCGTCCGCCTCCGTTTTAATGATCTAACCGTCCTTTGGGCAAGCGCTGCCTTCCGCCTCCCTACAGTATGGCTGTATTCGCTCTTCCTGAGTTCATAAAGTGCATTGTTGACTTGAATTGGCACGGAAATATCATGACCGTACAATTTTAGAAAAGGGAACAAAATATAAAGGTTGTGAGTGCAGAACGTATTCACACAAATGTAACGCGTCCAGCTGTCGGAAAAGTTTGCAAGTAAAGCAGAATCCATCGCTGAACCCCGAATATAGTAATATTAGCAATATACATATCTCGGATGTGAGAGACTGTTCTTGTAATAGGGACAGCTCATCAGTACAGTTAACTTCATGTTTCTGCATGAGCGTCCAGTAATGTCCGCGTTGTCAAAACATTCTGAAATATACTGATTTTCTTGATGTTGTTTTAGATGCAACAGATTCTTCGAAATATCCATATATATTCCGGAGATTTTCTTAACGAGAACATGGCAATTATGGAGTTCTGCGGAATATTCTTTCAGTCGCAAAGACCTGTGAGCAGCTAGTAGGCTATTCCACAGGATAGCGTATCTGACGAGGAGGAAGTTGAAGCTAGTATTTGACATGGTTTTTTGCATAATTATTTTGTAAGTATTGCTGCGAAGCCCCCATAGAAAATCTTGTTGTAATTCTAATGTAGACAGATCAAAGTATGTCTTCCGGTTTATCAGCTTTGATGTAAGCATTAAGCTGCTCTTCAGTCGCCTCAACTAGATGCGCAAGGTAAAGCTGATAGTATAGCCCCTACTAGCTAAAGGTGGACCCTGTAATAAACAAACGTTCAGTGAATGAGTTTTGCAAGTTTTCCGATGTATTTTTAGCAACCATATGCATAACTGAACCGAACTGATTTCCATAACTCTAGATGTAGTTCATCGTAGTCCCCTCTCAGTCAGGCACGCACGCACTCGTCCAGGAAAACACCAGACAGGTGTTTTGATTTGCTGGGTTCCGACCCCATTATTTCCGGATGTCAGCAGCTTGTTCCACTAAGGGATGGGTGACGACAGCTGACCTGCATGACTGTCAGTTGACTACGATATGGCACAGCTCATGTATAAATGATGCTATGTTACTAAAACCTAGGGGGTAATGATTCTGAAAAGTTCAACTTTGCAGGAATTTTGTGGGTTCTATGACATGTTGAGCATTGCAAATCCGCGCTATTTGTATTTTTGGCTCGTTTTGAAAAGTTGAATGAGCTAGAAGCATTTAGAATAAATAATGGGGAATAACCCTGGTATTATTTCTTACTCTGTCGTGACGGTACCGGGCCGCTTGAGTGAGCGGAACCGCCGCTCTGTAAGTAGACAGGGGTCCAGTCAAACGCCGCTCATGCTGACTGACCTTGATCCCATGGGTCGGCAGCCAAGCAGAACAAGCTCAGCATAGAGCGATCACAGTTCGGCTTGGTTACAAGCGAAACGGAGCGGACTGGCTCGCATGTGCACGTGAACATAAGTTGGGCTTGGGAAGTCCTAGGATAGAATCACTAGCATTTTCTTCTACTCAATGTCAAATGTCAAATGCCGGCGGCCAGTGTTCCAGCTTCGGCAGGAAAATCATGGTGAATGGTTGATGACGAACACCAGCATATTGCTTACCTCATATTGTCCCGCCCGTTTGTGCTGATTCCACTTAGCCCTCATCTCCAGTCCTGTTGCAAAAGCGATGCGGTGCACCAGCTCCGAATCGAAAGTAGCCGCTTGATTGATCGGTAACGGGAAGGACGTCCCCTCGCCGTCCCCTGGATTTGTCCGCCACTGAAACGGGTCAATGCCTAAACGTTTGATGCCCGGTGCGGGTCCATGTTGGGGTCCTGCGCCTCCTTTAGATACTTGCACAATGAGCTCGTCCACTGTGAGCCGGCTGAGGAGATCATCTAAGCGCTGGTGGATTGGCAGGCTGTGATTTTTGAACGGGAATTCAAAATTCCTCACAGGATAGCATAAGCTGCGGCGAAAAAAATGGGGGATCATTAGACCGATTTTCCTTTAAAAAGTATTGTAATAAGGTCAAAAGTGACTTTGTTTTATAAGGTAGATGGGCGATAAAGCCACTCATGATCTCGACAGTGAGGTCACAAAGAGTGTGAGTCCCAACTATCATTCGTGGGGCCTACTGTGTTGTTAGTCGATCTTAACAAGCTACTTGTAATTAAGGAGATAGTATGTACCATTAGTCAACGCGGAAACCCAATATTCGGCCTGAAGATTTGGTTTAATAGATAAAATAGATTTGCTGGTGTTCATTCGTAGACCCGTTGTAACTCTGGTTTAAAATGTAGGCCGTGCTGTTTACCAGAGTAACTGTGCACTACCTGTGGAAACGCCCAAACCGAATACTGAGAGAGTTACATAGAATACGTAGCATTCGCACCAACACAGGTAAACGGAGCATGCTCGATGATATTCGTCTTTATTGTGTTGGCTAACGGAAAGACCGCTTAGTTATGTTACCATTCCCACACACCCCATCTGCTATGTAAGTCTCTGTTGGGACCGACATTGTTCCTAAGCAGTCAGCGTCAACGTGTATAGAATTCATGGGAAGAAGAGTCAGAGTGTTATTACATCATTGTCATGATAATCTCCGTAGATTGTGGATGCAACATCGACCACAAAGTTATACGAGTAGTTTCTGAGCATCTTACTGGCATAGAGTCGCTGCAAGTCAATAGCTCGCTTTCCTAGAACATAGATCTAACATAGACCATTCTGTTACGCAGCCGCTGTTTAAGCAAGGCACGGTAACGACGACCAGACATTTCACTACATCACAACGACAAGCAGTGGCTTTCGAGTTAGTAAGCATGGGTGTGTGATCACACTAAAAAAGCGTGTCTCGCGAACACGAGGCCATAACTCTATTATTATTATTATTATTATTATTATTATTATTATTATTATTATTATTATTATTATGTTATTATTTCGTCGGTGTTCGCAGCAAGTTCAGTTATATATAATAGACAACGACAGAACAAGCGTCAGCTGTCGAGTACCACTCACCTTACCAATCAGACACCGCAAACTTCGGCAGCAGACCGCATGTCATTGGTTGCAAGATGACAAGTATGTCGTGGTATTCGTGAAGTAAATTCCGGCGACCACAAGCGGAGATAAAAAGGAATTCTGCTTTTTATAATTAATGGATGCATATTCCATTTGCATACATTCTGTCAGTTGAGATAACTGAGAACTGCAATCTTACATGTGGTTTCAAACCGTAAGCTGCGGTATCAATATGTACGCAGCCAAGGTAAGGTGCATCGGGGAATTTATCATCTTCAAACAGCGGGTGGGTTGACATTAATCCCGACTGATGCGGCGAACACTCTGCGCCTGCAATACGCTTCCACCTATTGTACAGTCATTGACCAAGTGACCTTATGGAAAGGGGTATCTCACTCTCAAAACTCATTCATACGTCCTTCACGCAGACATTATACTGAAAAAGCTGTTGAGTATGTATAAGCACACCTCACTTGGAGTTATACTATTCGTTCAATGTCACTTGAGGCGGGAGAAGAGAACTTAGCAGAGCTTTTGGCTCAATTCTTCTAGCACGGTTATGACCAAATGTACGTATCCGAGCTCTGGAAACACAGAATAAATACTCCAATTCATAAGGGAAGTAGTCGTTCTGATCAAGCCAACTACCGTTCCGTAATCCTACTACCGATACTTCCAAAGATCCTTGAAGTCATGATTGGCGATACACTAACGGTTTATCTGGAAGAATTTACCTACCTTGCACTAGAACAACATGGCTTCCGACGAAATCGAGCGGGCACTACAAATCTGCTACTAGCAAGATCCAGATGGACGGAAGCCTTAGACGCTGACACAGGAATTGATGTAGTTGTTCCCGACTTCTCAGACGCCTTCGACTGGTCATAACATAACATTCTATTCTTAAAACTCCAGAACTTTGTATTGATTATCCTCTCCTAGGATGGATTAAAAGCCTTCTTCTATACTGGTGCTTGGAGGTCAGAGCGGAAGAATCGCAATCAGATTCCATCCATGTTGAAATCGGAGTACAACGGGGATCTGTACTGGACAAAGGTTGCTATTGGAGCAAAGCAGCGATATAACACACTTCATAAGTTTGATATGCCGACTCTATACCAATGACAGCAATGTGTGGAGGGAACTCAATACACCAGGTGATATTACACTACTTCAAGCTGACCTGGATGGGATTTAGGTGTGGTCAAATCAGAAGACACTTCAATACAAAGTGAACAAATGTAGTCCTGCAACTACGCAAGCTGGCTTGTTGGTATAAACTGGGCAACCAGCAGCTTCAAAGGTCCTCTAGCGAAAAAGATCTACGCTTTCGGTCGAGGCCGAGCTTGGATGTTTGAGTCAGGCTGAATAGGCGTTTAGGAGCCTCGAAAGAAGTGCATACGGATGATACAACCCGTTGGTTTGTCAACAATTTCTAAACTCACGCATACATCCACACTTGAAATAGGCAGTACAGGTCTGGCAGCTATGGCTGTGGAGAGCTGTCACCGTCTTTGAAATATCTCACAGTTGCGCAACCAAGAATGTCGAGGGCCTACACCATTTGCCGCATGAACAATTGCGGAGTGTTCGGGGTCTTCAGCGGACTATATCGGCGAGTACGTGGGGACCTTACATTGACTTACCAGATTTTGAGAGATCCCAACCACATGTGCCGCCGTTTCCTAGAGCAAAGTTACAACAGTAATCTGAGAGGTTGCCATCTGAAGTTGGCAGGGCAGTACGGTCGTTTGGGATGCCGTTAGAATATATGTACTGTAGGCGTTTGCAGAACATGGAATGCCCTACCGGAATCTGTCATCCGTGCTTCCACGCTGGGAGGGTCCAAAGCCCGAGTTGACTGTGCACTCCTTGCGCTTCAGCATCTCACATAATTCATTGCACATGAATAAACCCGAGTGTCAGTTTGAAAATTTACTGCCAGTCAACTTACAGAATGCATTACAAATTTTCACCTCCTGCACCTGTTTACCAAGATGCGACTTAGGTCCTGCAACCATAATATCTATCGTCATTACTTATGGAATTACAGTGGATTTACAGTTTTTAATACGTATATTGTCGTGAGTAATTATTTTAAACTATTTATCTTGACCATCCTACGGGACCTATTACAAGTAAGTTTTTTAACCCGCACTGAACGATTGTTTTATTGTTCGATTGTACGGTTCTTTGTATAACGGAACAATCGTGAAACGAGAGTGTGCACGTCTCGCATCCAGTTGGTGAGACCTGACGGAATCACATACAGAACCAATCAGATCCTCTGACGTGGTGGTGACATGTATATGTTGTAAACCGGACCAAAGGGATACGGGCATGTTCGTAAATACCTGTATAAGTATTAAACAGTTTGAAGAAGTCATGCTTTTGTGCAGTAAACATCTTACCTAAATCTTACTACAAACTATTAAGACAAGTGGCTGTTATATCTCGTCAGTAAAAGTTGGCGGAAACCAGATATCATGATAACTACTGTTGCAGACCATCTGGCGCCTCTATCTGTCCACCTGCTTCCGAATGAGGCGCCGCTTGTTATGTAGACGCTAGATCTAAGTTGATGCAGACCAGTGTCCATTTCGACTCTATGCATATAACCAGAGGATTCGTAGTACAATCGGCTAGAAGCAGTAAGTCCGTCCGACGAAGGGCCATGGAAATGTACTCATTCAGGGCCGGAGATCCACACATTGCGGACTCAGATTTCAAATGGATTCCGACTGCGCACGCACGCTGACTAGATTTCTTGGCATCTGAGTTCAAAGGCTAGGTGAATGGCTGTAAAGCATCACTGCGATATATTATTGATATGGATTACATAGCATTAAGGACGTGAATGTTGGACCCATAATGTCCAGAGTGGATTAAGATGTGTCGGGGCGAGTGTCGACCTCAGTTTGCCGAATCGCGATGATAAAGATTGCGCAGCCATTCCTTAAAGACGGAATTTGTAGTGTACCGGAAAACACGTCCTTTCAATATTGTGCAACATTGGATTTTACGAAGTTTAAACCTTCAAAACGTCCACTTGTTTTACTGACGACACCTCCGTTGACACAAATCGTTTTGGTGAATATTTTGCTGCACCGTTTCTCGCACTGGTTGATTCGCTTCCTATTTTTGTAGCCTGCACAATCTACGTTGAGTTCAGTCACTTCCAACTTCTATACTGTCCCGTATTTGAAACGGCTCTTACGTGTCATTGATTATCGACTAGTATCCCAGACGCCACCCAACAAATTCCAAGAATTTTAAAGGTAGCCTTAATAATAAAGCAAATACGGACAAGCTTCATGTAGCGCCGGAGTGTATAAGGCCTTAAAATAAATCTGGTTGTGCGAACTTGTGAGAAATTTTGATTTCCGTTCTGAAATCACTGCCTACCAATCCACCAACGCTTAGATTTTCTCCTTGGCCGAAGCACAGTGGAAGAGCACTTGTGAAAGTACCTAAAGGAGACGCAGGATTCCAACATTGACCCGCAGCCGGCATCGAACGTCTGGGCATTGACCCAATACCACTGCAGGCTTTCGCTGCCCCGGTAATTCACGGAGATTTGTTTTAACTTATCATTTCTTTAGCCTCATTGGTTGTTTGAAGTCGTTGTTTTTGGTGTGCCGCATAGTCCAAGTTAGAAACTAAGACTGTCACTTTCGCGCTTTATGACTAGTCCCTTACCATAGTCAGCCCTTATAGGCTTTGTCAGTCCGCATGCTTTAAGCACTCTGGTTGATTTTTGCTTTTACGCGTCATATTAAATAACGCTACCCTTTCCCACCACAATACTCGCAAACCAATTCTATCAAAAAGCTCTCATCTGTGGCGTTATTACGTGAATGATAGAAAATGTAAAGTAAAAACGGCTCTGCCAGTATCGCTAAACCGGAAAATTCTATGGCGTAGTTTTTGGAATCTACA